TGTCCACACGCCACAGAGGGGACAGGCAGAGGCTGATGTTGGAGCTGGCCGTGGAGGTCCCTGTGGCGGGTGCTGTGGGAGTCTGGGCTAAAGGACGTGGCGAAGGGGCTGGGCAGAGCAGGGCTCTTCCAGACTGAGCAGAGGCCATCGAGGACGGGCCTTCAGGCACCTCCAACCCATTGCTTGTGGGGCAGCATGTGAGCTCCTTGTCCTGTCAGCTGCAGTGTCACCCGCTAGTCTCACACGCACCACACCTGGGACACCTCAAGACCTGTGTACCTGTGTTCCCTCTGGCCAAAATGCCTTTCCCTTCCTTTAATTGGTGAACTCCTACACATCCTTCAAAACCCATCTCCAGTTTGCCCCTCCTCCTTGAAACTGGGAGGAGCCAGCTCCCAGGCTCTTTACGCCCAACCTGCCCTTCTCTTTAGCTTGAAGAGTTCTTTGGTGTGGAAGTCGGGAGTGAGGGTGGACATAGCTATATCCACCCTGTGTCCCCAAAGCTTAGGGGGGCTGAGTCCATCTCCGGGAATGGATATCTCCTATCCCATGGGGTCCCTGCCACCCGTCTTTATGTGGGAACACTTCTGGAGAGCCAGGAAAGAACAAGTGGAAGCTTCCAGTCTTCTCTCTGCCGCAGATGTGGGCTGTTTGTGGGGCGTGAATTTGACAGTTGCAGACTTGCGGAGGTTCGGGGTGGGGCGGGCACCGTTCCTCTTTGTGTTTCGCTGGGCTGGGGACACCGAGTCCTTCCTCGCCAAAACAAAAGGAGCGCTGGGCTTGGGGAGAGTCCCAGGCTTGGGTTAGAGGTCCGGGCTCCGGGGCCTGGTCCTTCCCGACTTGCCTCCTGACCTTGAGGCGACGCTCCTCAGCCCCCGCCATCTGCTCAGGGCAGCGCCCGTCCTGCCTGGCTCCCCCACGCGGAGCGGATGATGGATGTGTGGCCCCGGGGTGCTCCTGGCTCTGATGAATATTAATGACCCGACGCGCAGTCGCCTGCTGCTCGGGGCCGGGCCGGCCGCCTCTCTGGGTGGGGGCTGTAGCGGGAGGGTGCTGGAGCCCCCACCACGTCCTCCCGCCAGTCGAGGGGCCGCTGACCCCGTCTCTGCCCTGTGCCCCCAGATCTTCTCCCTGGGCCACTGCCCCAACCAGGACTGGCTGGCCGTGGGCATGGAGAGCAGCAACGTGGAGGTGCTGCACGTGCGCAAGCCCGAGAAGTACCAGCTGCACCTGCACGAGAGCTGCGTGCTGTCCCTCAAGTTCGCGTCCTGCGGTGCGGCTCGCGGCGGGGGAGGGGGGCGGGGGGGGACCAGGGTCCGGGGCTGGGGGCTTCACCCCCTCAGAAAAAAAGAAACAAAGGATGCCCGGTTCAGTTTCAATCTCAGATAAATAACAGATGATTTGTTAGTATGAGATGTCCCAGACACTGCGTGCGACAGACTTACGCCAAAAGGCCAGTCATTTGTCAGTGCAAGTATAGCCCACAGCGTGCGGAGTGGGTGGGATAGACTTATATATTAAAAGTATTTTTATTTATTTTGAGAGAGACTCTCACTTTGTTGCCTGGGCCGGAGTGCAGTGGCGTCATCACAGCTCACTGCAGCCTCCAACTCCTGGGCTCAAGTGACCCTCCTGCCTCAGCCTCCTGAGTAGCTGGGAATACAGGTGCCACCACCACGCCCAGCTAATTTTTTCTATTTTTAGTAGAGACGGGGGTCTCACTCTTGCTCAGGCTGGTCTTGAACTCCTAAGCTCAAACGATCCGCCTGCCTCAGCCTCCCGGAGTGCTGGGTTTGTGTGCATGAGCCACCATGCCCGGCCTAAAAAAACATCTTTAAACATTTTTAAGAGAGATTGGGGTCTTGCTATGTTGTCCAGGCTGGCCTCAAACCCCTGGCCTCAAGTGATCCTCCTACCTTAGCCTCTCAAAGTGCTGGGATTACAGCCACCGCTCCAGGCCTGAGATTCATACTTACCTGGGCGTCTTGGATCTTATCTGGCGACCCTGCCCTGGGCCTCCCCCCCTCCTTGCGGGCCAGGTGGAGCCTCTTATAGCCTGAGCTTTGCCACCTGGGAAATGCAGGGGAAGGACCCAGGTGGTTTTGTGCCCCCCCTCAGTGAGGGCAGAGGAGGCTGGAGAGAGGGAGAGGCCAGGCCCGGCCTGTCCCACCTCCCTGCGTGGCCACGGTGGCCCTCCTGCGACTTTCCCTGCCCCCTCCGCAGGGCGGTGGTTCGTGAGCACGGGCAAGGACAACCTGCTCAACGCCTGGAGGACGCCCTACGGGGCCAGCATCTTCCAGGTACGCGCGGCCGGAGGCCCCCAGCCCGGGCGGGAGCGCCCCGGCCCAGCCACCTGCCGCTCTGACCCTTCCGGGCCCGGAGCCTCCCGGCCACTACAGCAGGGTTGGGGGCGCCCATCTGCCCGCAGCCTGCTGGCTTTCAAAAAATATTTTGGTTTTGCTGAAATATATCTTGACATTATAAAATTGCCCATCTTAACCACTAGTAAGTGGCACTAACACATTCCCAGGGCTGTGCAGCCGTCACCACCCGCCACACCTCCAGAACTTTCTCGTCTTCCCAAACTGACGCTCTGTCCCCATGAGACAATCACACCCTGCCCCCTGCCCCCCACCACCCCGCTTCCCGTCCCTGTGGATCTGACGGCTCCAGGGACCTTCTGGGAGTGGAGTCACGCGGGACTTGTTCTGCATCTAGTGTCTGTCACTGAGCACGATGTCCTCAAGGTCCCTCCACGCTGTGGCCCGTGTCACAGCCTTGTCCCTTTTAAATCCTCCGCATCTTCACTGACACTTGTTACTGTTTTTATTATACCCGTCCCAGTAGGTGTGCTGTGCTTTTGACATATTTAAACAGTTACCAAAAAATCCCTGTAGAATATGTGAATAGACTTATTTGGACTTCAGGCAACACCTAAATCCTTAATCCTTATCAAAGCTTGCTGACCCCTGGTCTGGGTCCCTGTGCTGTGTGACCTCATAGCTGGCACACACCCTCTCTGAGCCGCCTAGCAGAGCACAGCTCCCGTCCCAGCTCTCTTGCGGTGGAGGGAGCGGAGGCCCTGTTCCTCCCGGGAACACGTCCGGGCAGAAGGGCCCAGCCCCAAAGCTCCTTTTTCTAGAAAAGGCATCACCCTCCTTCCCTGGGCTGGGAGAGTCCTGGGTCCCCTCCGGGTCTGACTCTGCCCCGCCGGGACCACACAGCCACCCTTGGGGGCCTCCCCTCACGCCTCCCCTCTTTCCGTCCCGGCAGTCCAAGGAGTCCTCGTCAGTCCTGAGCTGCGACATCTCCAGGAACAACAAATACATCGTGACAGGCTCGGGCGACAAGAAGGCCACCGTGTACGAGGTGGTCTACTGAGACGCCCTCTTCCTGCACCGCAGCCTGACTCCTGGGGGACAACGGGAATTGGGGACAGAGGCCTCGACAGCGTCTGCCAGCGCAGCCCCATCCACCGTCCGTCCGTCTGTCCGGAGGGCTGTGTCCCGCTTCCTGCTGGGTGTGGGCAGGCGGGGAAATAAATGTACGTATCGCAGCCTGGGCTGGGGGACCAGCCACCCATCACCGCTTGTCCCGGGGCAGTTACTGGGAGGCCGCGGCTGCTGGGCTGCGACCGTGGGTGACGCGGTTCATTCTGCACCACACGGAGGCGCGCCGTGGGAAAGGCCACTGCCGCGACAGCAGCGCCGGGCGTGGCCGTTCACACGCAGCTGCGTAACAAACGGCACCGGGGCTCGGTGTCTACCACAACACGCTCTGCCTTGCTCCCACCGGTGAGTTGCTCCAGGGTCTGACCCAGCAGGGGACACCCTGTTGCCTGCTGCTGCTCTAAGTACTCTCGCCCAGACCGGGTGCGTGGCAGGTCACGCCAGTAATCCCAGCACTTTGGGAGGCTGAGGCGGGAGGATCACTTGAGGCCAGGAGTTTGAACCCAGCCTGAGACCCCATCTCTACACAAAATTTAAAAATTAGCTGGGTATGGAGGCACCTGCAGTCTCAGCTACTGGGGAGACTGAGGCAGGAGGATCCCTTGAGCCCAGAATTGGAGGCTGCCGTGAGCTTTGATTGTGCCACTGCACTCCAGCCTGGGTGACACAGTAAGATCCAGTCCCCTTAAAAGTAAATACCCCAGGCCTCACATTTCCTGTCTCTCACTGCCAGCCCTGGGATACAATCATCCCAAAACTCAGCATAAATTCAAGGCAGGACGAGATGAGGGGGACAGAGCTATTCGGGGTACAGTTGCACTTCCTGTTCCTGAGAAATAGCCATCTGAGGGCCCGGCGGAGACGGCCCTGGAGAGGGTGGAACAGCATGTGCGGAGGCTCAGAGGAGCCTGGCCCCGCGCACAGCAGGGCAGCCGGGTCCTGCAGAGCCAGGTCTCCAGGTGAGGGTTACGCCGGAGCAGGGGGAGGGTGGTGGCCACGAGTTCTGGAATCCCGGGGACAGGGCGTGCCACATGCATGGGGACAGCAGGCACGTTGCTGGAACTCGCTGGAGGGAAATGGCAGGTTCCTGCTGAAAACGCCCAGGCGGGAGTTTCTGCAGACGCTATGGGAGCCGGGACGGCGCACGTGCCAGTTTAGGGAAACGCGGCGGGCTGGAGCCGTCTGGGCTCCTTCCTAGCCCGGGAAGGGCGAGGGGTGTGTTCTGAGCCCCGTTGGGTGGGAGGCGACCGGTGAAGCCATCGCCAACCTGCGTCAACTCAGGACACGCAGGGAGGCCCCCTGCACCCCGGTCGTGACAACCACAGATGTCCCCACACATCACCCAGTGTCCCTCGGGGAACAGAATCACTCCTGGTTGAGACCGTCGGTCTGACGGGACAAGCAGACAGCCGGGGCCCCGTGGATTGACTGGGTTCTCCGAGAACATGGCCTCAAAGGCTCAGAGCCACCCAACCGGGCAGAGTCCTTCCAAATTTCAGTGAGACGGGCAGGACGGGGACGGGGACGGGGACCGGGAGGGCTCCCCGTCTTCAAAGGACAGGGCACACCTACGCTGCTTTTCCCTGTTGCTTTATTACCCGTGACAAAGACCAGAGCCCACAGACGGCCGGCTCCATCTCGCGGTGCCCCGGGAGACCCTTCCCGTCCCCTCCACCGCTGCCCTCCTGGGGGGGGGGAGAAGAGCCGGGCGGGAGGCCGCTCAGTAGGTGACCTGGTACACCAGCGCCTGGTCCCCGCAGCCCATGACGACCAGTCGGTTGTTGGAAGACACGTCGCAACACATGACGGGGGAGGTCTCGGGCACCTGGCAGGGTGGCAGGTGGGGCACGGTGAGCTCCGGCTTGGGCGTGGTCCCCTCGGCCCCCCGCCCGGCCCGCCGCGGTACCTGGAACACCTTGGCCCCGGTGGGCATGCTGTGGATGCTGACGTCCTCCATGCCCACGCTCACCCACCAGCGGCCTGGGAGGACACCGGTGCCCGGGGTCAGAGCCCACCCTGCCTCCTGCGTCCCTGCGCCGGCATCTCCCGGAGGGGTTTCTGCTAACGAGGGGCTCTGGGGCGTTCCAGGGGGACGTGGGGCCACAGGGGGCCACTTACCAAAGGGGGAGAACTTAAGGCCCAAGATGGTGCCACCATTGGACCCCACCATGTGCGACTCGCCCCCACGGGTGTCCTGCAGCCACTGCTGCCCGTTGGCCAGGCCCAGCAGCACCCAGTCTTCCTTAGGGCTGTGAGACAGGCTCATGATCTGGGGGAAGGAGGCAGGTGGCGGGGAGGAACCTGGTCAGGTCCCAGCCTGGCCCAGGAGGCCAGGCAAGAGCCCGGGGACCCACCCTAGGGACCGGGTACCCAGCCGCTTCCTAGCTTCGCAGCCCAGGCTCCAAACAACTTCCTCCCTCTGCCTCAGTGTGTTGGTTCTGTGAAATGGGCACAAGCCTCCCTACTGTGCGCCCAACACAGAAATAAGAGTGTTCGATGTTATTTGGGCAACAGCAGAGAATATTCCTCATGGCCCTGTTCCTGCAGTGTCACCGAGACTCAGGAAAAGTCCCTGCACCGACCTTGTTCTCTAACCCCGTTCTCGCTGCCTGGCCGGGCCCCACCCCGCCCGCGCACCTGAGACTCGAATAGGTACTCCAGGGGCTTCTTGCCCATCCGCTGGTCCCAGCACCGCAGACAGGCATCCAGGCCCCCCGCCCAGATGTTGTGGTCTTTGACCGCGATGCTCTTGACTCCGTTTGGGTGGCCCGTCAAGTCCCTGGTCAAGAGGGACATCGGGAAGGGGGTCAGGCCAAGACTCTAAGGTTTGGACCCCAGGAAACACCAGCACTACGTCTGGGCACCGGCCTCAGTCTACACTAGCGCTGAAGTGGGTCTGGGGAAATCTGGTCAGACAGCAAAGCTACGGGGCCTGCGGGCAGGGAGCCACGTTTTATATCAGCCGTCGGCTCCCGGAAATGCTTATGTGTCATTCTACGTTTTTACAACACATTTGCCCTCCTAAGAATCCTTTGTGGCCGGGGCGCTGTGGCTCATGCCTGTAATCCCAGCACTCTGGGAGGCTGAGGTGGGAGGATTGCTCCAGGTCAGGAGTTCGAAACCAGCCTGAGCAAGAGCGAGACCCTGTCACTTTTCTAAAAATAGAAATTGGCCAATTGAAATATACAGAAAAAGCGGGGCATGGTGGTGCATGCCTGTAGTCCCAGCTACTCGGGAGGCTGAGGCAGGAGGATCGCTTGAGCCCAGGAGTTGGAGGTTGCTGTGAGCTAGGCTGACGCCACGGCAAGAGTGAGACTGTGTCTCAAAATTAAAAAAAAAAAAAAAAAGAAAAAAAATCCTTTAAGTTTGGGGTTGTCACACTCTGTCCAGGTGTGGGGGGGAACTGAGGCAGGCACAAAGTAGGATGGCTTTGCTGCAAGGAAACAGCCCAGCTGAGATCCGAGTCTGCGTCTCTCACTCTCAAATGCGAGTTCGAGGCGGAAAGGGCTTTGGGCCTTGAGCGTGGTGGCGGGGCGCTGGAACAGGACCCGGCCCTCGCCCGCCCCCCTGCGCCCGCGCGGGGCCACACCTGACCACGCTGTGATCCCGCAGGTCCCAGACCCGCACGGTGCCGCTGCTGAAGCCGCTGATGGCCAGGTTGTCGTCGGGGCTGGCGGCCAGCGCCTGGCAGGCGAGGCCCGCGCAGGGCAGCTCGCCCTTCACGTGCAGCGAGGGCGCCACCAGGTCCCACACGCTCACGCCGGCCAGGTTGTAGCCGCCCGTGAACAGCGTCCTGCTGTTGGCCGAGAGCAGGCAGGTGCGCAGGTAGGCCCCGGGCGTCTGGGGCGGGCGGAGGCGCCGTGAGCAGGCAGCGCCCCGGAAGCCCAGCCCGGCCCCCCGAGAGCCCACGCCGCGCCGCCTCTCACCTGGACGGGCAGGTGGGCCTCGGGGAACCTGTCCTTGGCCACCTGGCCGGTCAGGCTCCACACCTTGACGCCGGCCCTGCTGCAGGTGAACGCGTGGCGCGTGAAGCTGCTGACGGCCACGGCCAGCACGGACTCCCCGTGCGCCAGCACGCGCATCTTCTCCAGCTCGTAGGGCACGGCCAGCCGCCACGACTGCCCGGGCGCGGTGTCCGGCCTCTTCCACGAGTCGTCGAAGTCCTCTGGATCCCAGCATCTCGGGGAAGGGAAGGGGGAGGCCTTGGGGTACCTGGCCCGCCTGGAGCCCCCTGCCCGGTGGGGGCCGCGGATCCAGCCCCAGAGGGGCTTCATTCTTGACCAGATGTTGGGGTTTTCTTCTTAGGCCTTTTCTCTACTACATTCCCCCCCCCCTCCTCCAAAGAGTCCCCTCCTCTGCCACAGACACACTATATTTCCTTCTGCCCAGAATGCTTTGCCGCATGAGGGCAAACTCCTATTCATCCTTTAGGGTCCTTAACCATTAAGCCCCTTCCCGCAAGGAAGCTCTCTCTTCCCCCATATCTAGGCTTTCTTAGTGTCAAACTACGAGGTTGGGACCATCTGAAAACACAGCCCTGCCCCCCCTTCCCCAAATCCCTCGAATCCAGGGTGGTTACGTAGGGAAGCGGCAGTGTGGGATTCCACGGGCCGGGTTGGCGAGGACAGTGCGGCAGTGAAGGGAGACGGGCGAGACAAACCTACACCACCTCTGGTCCCTTCCCCCTAGTGGGACAGAGGTACCGGGAAGGGGGGTTCCCTGCTGCCCCCCGCACCCAAGCAAGCCGTGCAGACACTTACATGGGCTTCAGAAACGAAAAGGGTCTCCCAACAGGCTCCTGTGGGGGGGCGAGAGCTCAGCTGTCCCCCTGCCCCCCACCGGTGCCCACCGCTCTGCCCCACCAGCCTCGATGGGGACACGTGCCAGCTCGGGCCTGCGTCTCACCTGGGCCACACCACAGCCGCTGCTCCTGTCTGGGGGCCCGGCGGAGGTCGTGGGCAGTCCGAGGGCTGGGCAGAAACAAGGGACCTAAGCGGCTGGCACGGCCCCGGGGCAGCCTGCGCCCTCCGCCCGGCAGGAGCCCAACGCTGCCTACCTCGGGGACTGGAGGCGTCTTCCGGACCCGGCTCTGTTTCCGACTCATCCGAACCCCGGGCCTCGCTTTCCTGCCCGTGGGGAATGGAAGATTCTGGTCAGACCAGCTTGAGCTGGCCGGGGGCATAAAACCAGAAAACCTCAGGGGTGCAGGGGAGGGGTGCAGGGGAGGGGTGGGGGGGCGGGGAGGGGGGTCGGGCTTGTCAACTGCGGTCCCGTCTCCCCGTTGTCCATCGCGGAGCGTCTCAGCGCAGGCCCCCGGCGGCCCCGGACTGCAGGCTCTGGGCTGTTCTAACACAGCCTGTCTCACTGAGTCCTCCTTGGGGACTCAAGGGACGAGGCAGGAGGCAGGACGAGGTGGAGAGATCCCACAGGAGCCCCATGCCCTGACATGGAGGGGCCCGCCCAGACAGCCACCCAGCCCAGATGCCCCCCCCCCGGGTGCAGCCACATGCACGCACTCACCAGCCCTGGCGCCCGCTCTGTCACTATGGCAACGGGAGATGTAGGGGGATGGGGAGACAGCACAGTGGGTTCACTCCGAAGGCCCCCGGGCCCCAGCCTGAGACCAGCCCTTCCCCCTCACCCCAAGGGACACTCACGTTTGTGTCCCAGGTCTTTGAGCTCACTGTGGACACCGGCAAAAACCTGCCAGAGTTGCTCGGTCAGAACATCTTGCCAAAACCGGGGTTGAGGGTCCCAGGACGTCGGCGTTTCCGGCTGGGGTCCTGCTCCGAAGGGCCACCAGAGCCAGTCGGACGACCTCGCGGCCAGGACCTCTCTGAAGTCCCGCTCCTGCGGGGACCTGGCCTCCGGGCGAGGGCGGACGTCCGGGCTGGTGGGCGAGGCAGGTGGGATCTGGGCCACCTGGTACGGCAGGCACAGGGACGGTGACACACTGGAGGACGTGCTCTTCACCCAAGCCCGGTCCCCAGGACCCAGAAACCTACCCCCACGGTCAGCAAGCCCTGGAGCTCGCCACAGCTCTCCACGATCTGCAAGACGCTGCCTATCTGGGGGGTAGAACGGCTCCACGTTAGCGCAGCGACAGTTCCACGTTAGCGCAACGACAGCGCGCCACTTGCCCCGTCTGCCAAATGGGGACGCATCGCCTGCCTTGAACGGAGGTTGGGGCCAGATTCTACGCCCCGCTTCCTGAAGCAAAGGTAAAGCAACCTCTCCATACGCCACAAGCCAGCCTCGGTGGCTGGAGACACACACACCTGACCCTGAGGGCGGGTCACCGTCAAGACACAGCTAGGTTCAGGTCCCAGGATGTTTCCAAGTGAAACCTCACCCCCACCCGCCTCTGCTCGCCAGGGCTTTGAGGAGCAAGGCGGGCGCAGATGGGCCTCCCAGGTGAGGAAGGCACTTACTTGGATGAAGACGCTAGAAAACCGAGAGTCACCTACCGGGAAAAGCCCGGGAGAGAGTCACTTTATGGTGTTTTAATTTTTTTCAAAAAAGCCACATGACCACCACTGATTCCAAACTTAAAAGTTTCCCAAACAGAATGAAACCCAGACCCGCGCCGTCCACGCTAACTGGAGCCGTGCACAGAACCGACACTCCTAGAATGTCGTGACGGGCACGCCCAAGGCACCAAGACCTTGGTGACGCCGACTCCAGACGTACTTAGCGTCATCCGACAGGTCCAGACTGTCCTCCAGCGTGCAACTCACGTGCAAAGGGGATCGAGTTCACTTTCCATTCTTTTTCGCCTCGAGCGTGGGGCGTGTGGTTCACGTCCCAGCACGCGCGAGTTGGGTCGGGTGGGCTCACGTTCGCCGTGGCCACGCGGCTGGACGCCACAGCCACCCCTGGGGGGGCCGAGTGTTCCGGCCTGAGTTGTGAGTGTCTGCACACACAGGCCACCTGTCTGTCCCCTGGGCGGGGCGGGGCCGGGAGGGAGGGGCCGGAAGGCGGGACCCTCCCTGGGCGCCCAGGGCTGCAGCCCCGGGTGACGGATTCCCCAGCCCAGCCCCGCAGAGCGCAGAGCCTGGGAGCCTCTCCAATTCACCCGGCTCGTTAATGCGCAATTTACCGGCACTTTAATGCGCTCGGCAGGAGAGGCGGCTCCCGCCTCCTGCGAGCCTCCCCGGGGAGCTGGCCTGGCGCAGGCGGCTGCTAGGATGAGGATTTTAACAGCGCAGGGGGGAGGCTGCAAAACCGGGAGCTGGGAGCAGAGGGGCGGGGCGGGGAGGGGAGGGGAAGTGTCTGACCTGGACCTGGGAGGGGCCTGGCGCCTGCTGGCTGGGGACCCTCTGAATGGGGGCAGCAACCGAGGGGCTCAGCCTGGGCTTCTCACCCCCGCCTGCTGGTTCTCTGGCCCACGGTTCAACTCCTTTCACCACGAAGCCACCGGCACCCCACGCCTGCACCCTGCCTGGCTTCTGCCCCCACCCACCGCCCCGTCTGTCTGCCCTCCCTGCAGCAGTCAAGGGGCGCCTGTGAGCACCCCAGTCAGGGCCCAGCCCTCCTCTGCCCACAGCCCTCCATGGCTCCCACCTCCCTCAGGGTCAAAGACCAGGTCCTCCTGAGTCCCACCAGACCCTGCACTATCTGCCCTGTCCCCTGTCTGCTCCCCTCCTTCCTCTGCTCCAGCCACAGGGGCCTCCTCGCTGTGCCTTCAACACACCATGCATGATCCTGCCCCAGGGCCTTTGCACAGGCTGTGCCCTCTCTGTCTGCAATAACCTCCCCTGCCCCAGCTCGACAGCTACACTTCCTCTGTCCAATTTCCTTCAATTGATCACTGAAATGTCACCTTCTCAGGGAGCCTTCCCTGTACGCCCACCCCGAATTGCACCTCCTTCTCCCTCTTCCCCGAGGCCAGCCCCTCCCCGGCCTGGCCTGGCCTTCACCATCTCACCCCGTTTACCAGGCTCTGCTCGCCCCAGGGCAGCGAGCCTGTCTGTGTCCCCTCTGCCATTTCCCGGCTGCTACAGCAGTCTCTGGCAAGCAGGCCAGGGTAAGTATCTGTTGAATGAATAACCATGTTCCTCGCTTCCTGGCCCCCCTGCCCTGCTGAGCTGCAGACTCGGCCTGGGCCCCTGCCAGGTACATCTGGCACAGGCAGCAAGTCCTGCCAGCACCGGGAGAAAGGGCCAGGTGGCGGGAGGACTGGCAGGGTGGAAGGCGCCCTGGGCTGGCAGGTGGGAGCCCGCCCCGCGCCCGCGTGACCTGGGTTCGCGACAGCTCCCGGACACGGGGAGGACCACAGACTGGCACAGCACAGGCCCTCCTGTCTGAAGCCTCCGACCCTCCAAGTCAGCGCCTGTCCTGTCCCCTCTCTGCCCACAGCCCTCCATGGCTCCCACCTCCCTCAGTGTCAAAGCCCAAGTCCCACCCCAGGCCCTGCACATGACCTGCCCCTCCCGGTCAAGAGAAGCAGCAGTTCGAGCCCAGGCACTCACCTGCTTCTGGTGGCCTTCAAGATCCTCCTGCACCCTCTGAAGCTGCAAAGGGACAATCGTGATCACGCTAGGAGGCAGGGTTTGAATGCTGTGTGACCCTGGCCAAGTCTCTGCACCTCTCTGGTCTCTGCTCTTACATGGCACAGCACTCACCATGCTCACAGGAGGAGCTAATTTGGGAGCTCTTTAGATTCCATTCCAGATGGGGGAAGGTCAAATCCTCCCTGGGGCCTATCCCCCTCCCCACTGTGGGCCAGGTGGTCCTGCCCCAGGGCCTTTGCACCTCTTGGTGTCCTTGGTTACATGAATATCACCTTGGCTGCTAAGACCTCCCAGGCTGGCCCACCTCCGGAATGTCCTTTCACATATTTTCTTTCCCATCACCTTGAACTTCCTCAAAGGCTTTTGTGAATCTTGTTTCCCCATTTACTCCTCCCCCTCCTCCCCATGCAACTGCCCAGTTCGGGGAGGCAGGCAGAGCCAGGTGTGGCTGTTTAAATTAAGGCAAAAATTAAGTTTCTTAGTCACACAAGCTGCATTTACAATGGCTCAATAGCTTCCGTGGCTTTTGGGTGCCACATCAGACACTCTAAACAGAGTGTCCCAAGGCTGCACGCAGTGGCTCACGCCTGTAATCCCCGCACTTTGGGAGGCCGAGGCGGGAAGATCACTTGAGGCCAGCCTGGGCACTATAGTGAGATCCCGTCTATACAAAAAATAGAAAATACATCCAAGACAGAGTCCCAGCTACTCAGGAGGCTGAGGCGGGAGGATCGCTTGAGCCCAGGAGTTCAAGGCTGCAGTGAGCTGTGACAGCATCACTGTACTCTAGCCTGGGCGACAGAGCAAGACCCTGACTCTTAAAAGAAAAACCCCAGAAAGTTCTAGAAGACACCGCCACACTGGAGTGGGCAGGGACTTCACCCTCTGCTGGAACCACCTCCCTGGAACCACCAACTATGGCCCGGATGAACACCCACTTTATGTGGATTTTCTAGTTTTTTTCGACCAGGGCAGTACTAGTTAGGCAGCCTGGCCCACGTGTTAACTCACTTGCTCAGAGTAAGCAAACAGAATTGGGGGGGGGGTCCCCAGCTTGTACCTCCCGGGTAGGGGCTGCGGGGGTCTGGCTTACCGAGGAACAAATGCTCTCCAGCTTTGCAGCCAAAAGTGGGGGACACCTGAAGGGGCAGAGAGAGGAGCTGGAAGACCTGTGGCCTCAAGACCCAAGGTGGGCGAGGAGCCGAATTTAACACACTGACTGCCACGTGAGTCGTATGTAACTCACGCTCGCTTTGAGCCCGGGGCCTGGCGAAGCACGTGTAACTCACACACCTCTTCACCCTGGCAGCCGCTGGAACTGGTTTGCAAGGTGCATATAACTTATGCACAGAAAACAACAAACAGTAACAAATTTTTCATTAAATTGAAAGGATCATTTCGTTTTCCAAGTTTTTATTCTATTTTCTTAATAAAACACCGTGGCCCCAGGAGGGGAAAAACTTTTTTTTTTTTCTGCCTTGGCTGTCAATGTGTTAAAGGCCCAGTGTACTCAAAATGTTAAGATTTTAATGCAGCAGTTTTGACGATAAAATGGAATGTAAACACATGTATGCTAAACAAGAAAAATGAGATTTTGAATCCAAGCCAGGATCGGTATTACTGGGCTGTCCTATCGGTTCCGGCTTCAGTGTGGATGGTGGTTGCTAGGCCGGGGGCTTTTGGACCACTCGCCCACAGGGGCCCAAGGACAGGGACCAGGTGGGACTCGTTCCCGCCCCTGGAATCACCCTCACCTGGAGAACTGCTTGACCTGGCTGAGGAGGCCCTGGGAACTGGGGGCTGGGGAGCTCTTGGCGGTAAAAATCCCAGGAAGAGGCTGGAAGAGTCAAAGAAGACATTAATAAAACCTACAGCCCCCCACCTCTCCCCCCCAAAAAAGTCCAAGCCTCAGGTCTCCATCTCAGCCAGAGTTCTGGCACAGCCTGAAGGCAGGTGACAAACCTCAAAGGGGGTAAGGTGGGACATCCCCAAACCAGAATTTGCTTTCTCTCTTGTTATTGAGGTACCTAAGGAGTATGTTTCATTTTCCATGTTGGCCTGAAGTCTAAAATATTCACCATGTGGATATTTACAAAAAAAAATAAATATTTATGTTAAAAAAAAAAAGAAAATAATTAGCCGGGCATGGTGGCACATGCCTGTAGTCCCAGCTACTCGGGAGGCCGGGGCAGGAGGACCGCTTGAGCCCAGGGGTTGGAGGCTGCAGTGAGCTGTGAGTGGGCGCCTGTGCTTGAGTGGCCGTGATGGGCGACCGCGTGCAGCTGCAAGGCCTGGCCGGCACTCGCCCAGGCCACAGGTGGATACAAGATCAGAAGGGAATGGAGGCCGGGCGCGGTGGCTCACGCCTGTAATCCTAGCTCTTGGGAGGCCGAGGCGGGTGGATTGCTCAAGGTCAGGAGTTCAAAACCAGCCTGAGCAAGAGCGAGACCCTGTCTCTACTATAAATAGAAAGAAATTAATTGGCCAACTGATATATATATAAAAAATTAGCCGGGCATGGTGGCTCATGCCTGTAGTCCCAGCTACTCGGGAGGCTGAGGCGGAAGGATCACTCGAGCCCAGGAGTTTGAGGTTGCTGTGAGCTAGGCTGACGCCACGGCACTCACTCTAGCCTGGACAACAAAGCAAAAAAAAAAAAAAAAAAAAAAAAAAAAAAAGGGAATGGAAGTGGATTGCAGCTTGGGCTCTCCCCAGGACAGTGCCACCCCACGCCCTCCTAACCGAAGTTCCTTCCAGGGCAGCCCTGGGGCTGGGCCGGTCCACGGAGGTCATCTTCAGGCAGCGGCCCCGAGGACTTCAGCCAGAGACCCTGAAAACATAACAAGGAGATGGCGGGTCTTGAGGATAGAGCAGTGCCAGGGACAGAGCCAACCCTACCCACTAGGCTATGTCCTGGATTCCTCCTGCGAGGCCTCTACCTGCCCTGATTAATGGTGGGGACCCAGAGGGCCTGAACAGCGCCCCCCAGGCCTCACCCTGTGATTTGGGTCATTAGAAAGGGGTTTTGAGGGATGAGTAAGAGTTAGCCAGGGGAGTAAGAGTCATTTATCAGACAAGAGGAGAGACCTCGCTCCACCCCCACCACTGCTGCAGCACCAAGGTCCTGCTTGACTTCAGTTCTGCCCCCAACGCCCCTCCAGCTAACTCCCCGGGCCGGGAACCCCGGAGTCCCCTCTAGGGAAGGGGGGCAACTCACCTACACCAGGCTGGAGGAGGGAACCGCAGACAGGTCAGCCGAGTTCAAGCCAAGAGGAAAGGCCTCCTCACCCCCTCCCCCACTGGGGGCCATTTGACCCGTCGGGCCCCGCCCCGGCCCGCCCCGGCCCCGCCCCGGCCCCGCCCCGGCCCCGCCCAGCAGCCCCTGCACAGCGAAGCCGCTCAATGAACGCGCCGCAGCTGCACGTGGGCTCGGGCTCCGCGGGCGGTGGCTGACGGCGCTGGCCAATCGTAGGGCCGCTTGCCCACGTGGGCAACGCCCTGCATTCGCTGATTGGTCGGCTCGCCCAGGCCGCAGGCCGAGCTGTCACTCAGCGAGCGAGCGCGGGAGCCTCCGCTTAACCCTTGCGGTCCCGCTGCAGGGAAGGGCGGCGCGCAGAGAGAGCCAGAGGCAATTTGAGGGGGGTCCCAGCAGGGGCGGGGAAATGTCGGAGGGCGCGGGGCTAGGGAGGCCAGAAGGTGGGACTTGGGGAGGGATAGGCGGGGAGTAGTTGTCTTGTTTATAGAGTCTGATCATTTTGGGGGTCTTTGGCACTCTCACCCCAATTCTTGGAGTTGGGCTATTGACAAGTTTTTGCTCCCTATTGGATAAGGTGCAATGCAAAGGGAGCTTCGGGCCCCCTTTGGGGAGAGAACTTACTGGCTCCCGGGGATCCAGGCTTCCTGGAGCCCAGCTGGGGCTACACATTTAATTCATCAGTGAATTTTTCCTGCTCTCCTCCCAGCCCTGTGACAAGGGATCTGAGAGCCAGGGCAGGGACAGTGAAGTCACAGCATCGCTAGGTTCAAGGCCAGGGTCAGGGAGAGGAATGGTTCTGAGGTAGGGCAGAGCCGGGCTGGTCAGAGGAGCACAGCCAGGGAGGCCTGGGGTGATGCCAGAGAGACCCCTGGGAACTGCGGTGCAAGGGTCCCTACTGAGGGAGGGAAACCTCCTGTGTGGGGGCGGGTGGGTGAGGTCTGGAAGGTGTGGGTGGTGGAGATTCCGTTCTGTTTTTGGCCAGGTGCAGCTGCTCATGCCTGTAATCCCAGCTTCTTGGGAGGCTGAGGCAGGAGGATTGCTCGAGCCCAGGAGTTGAAGGCTGCTATGATGACTCCACTGAACTCCAGCCTGGGCCACAGAGGCAGACTCTGTCTCTAAAACAAAAAACAACATAAAAAGGAGTTCTGTTTTGGCTAGTTCAAAATTCCTATTTGAAATATGAAGGGGGTGGGTCACGGTGGCTAACACCTGTAACCCTAGCACTCTGGGAGGCCGAGGTGGGCGGATTGCTTGAGGTCAGGAGTTCAAAACCAGCCTGAGCAAGAGCGAGACCCCATCTCTACTAAAAATAGAAAGAACTTAATTGGCCAACTAATATATATAGAAAAAATTAGCCAGGCATGGTGGTGCATGCCTGTAGTCCCAGCTACTCGGGAGGCTGAGGCAAGAGGATCACTTGAGCCCAGGAGTTTGAGGTTGCTGTGAGCTAGGCTGATGCCACGGCACTCACTCTAGCCTGGGCAACAGAGTGAGACTGATCTGTCTCAAAAAAAAGAAAAATAACATAACATGAAAAAAGAAAAATAACATGAAGGGGGGGCAGCCCAGACTTCCGGAGTAAGAGGTTGAGTGTGTGCCTGCCTCAGGACCTTTGCACTGGCCGTCCCTCCTGCCTGGGACAGTCTCCCTTGGCAGCCACTGGCTGGCTCCTGAACTCTGAGCTCTCTGCTCAGAACTCTCCGCTCAGCCAGGCCTCCTAGGGCTCCCTTCCCTGTATCTCCCTTTCTTGTTTTTTTTTTCCCTCCCAGTGTGGTTTGGATTGGAGCTAATCTTGTAATCTCAGTGGCTCCTGCCTCCCACGATGGCTTAAAACCCTGCTGCGCTCAAAATTCAGAGAACGCTGTCAGGATTCTCCTACAGAGAGGCGTCCCTCTGTCCTGTGGCCTTGCAGGGTAGCACGGGCACCCAGGGAGGCTCACAACTTGGACCCCACCCCGGCCCGAGAACTGTTCCTCGGTTTCCCCTGTTCCATGCTTTGTGACTGTTGGGAACTGGAGGATTTACATGTTGGGATGAGTAGCCTGGGAGGTTATAATGTAAACACGTATCACGTGGGTTTTGCCACCGGTCCCTGCCTTAATTGAAGTGCCTTTCTATTTATGGTCCCGCCTGCTAACTGCCTCCTCTGTGCATTTGCTCCTCCCCTGTCCCGGCCCTGGACGGATGTCGGTCTCTCCAAGCCTGTGTGGTCACACGGGGTACCCACCAGGCACATGTGGCTATTTATTTTATTTTTATTTTTATTTTTTTTGAGACAGAGTCTCACTCTCTCGCCCAGGCTAGAGTGAGTGCCGTGGGGTCAGCCTAGCTCACAGCAACCTCAGACTCCTGGCTCAAGCGATCCTCCTGCCTCAGCCTCCCTAGTAGCTGGGACTACAGGCATTCGCCACCATGCCCGGCTAATTTTTTGTATATATATATACTATATATATATATAATATATATTAGTTGGCCAATTAATTTCTTTCTATTTATAGTAGAGACGGGGTCTTGCTCTTGCTCAGGCTGGTTTTGAACTCCTGACCTCGAGCAATCCGCCCGCTCGGCCTCCCAGAGAGCTAGGATTACAGGTGTGAGCCACCGCGCCCGGCCTATTTTTATTTTTTTGAGACAGAGTCTCACTATGCCTGGGCTAGAGTGCCGGGGCCTCAGCCTGGCTCACAGCAACCTCAAACTCCTGGGCTCAAGCGATCCTCCTGCCTCAGCCTCCCGACTAGCTGGGACTACAGGCATGCGCCACCATGCCCGGCTAGTTTCTATATATATATCTTTAGTTGCCAATTAATTCCTTTCTATTTAGAGTAGAGACGGGTTGTCGCTCTTGCTCAGGCTGGTCTGGAACGCCTGACATCGAGCAATCCTCCTGCCTCGGCCTCCCAGAGTGCTGGGATTACAGGCTTGACCCACCGTGCCTGGCCCACATGTGGCTATTTAAATGAACATCAATAACAATGAAATAAAATTGAAAATTCCGTCTCTTAGGTACACTGGCCACATGTCAAGTGCCAGTCCTTACATGTGTCTGAGAGGTGGTCATCGGCCTGGACAGCAAAGATCTAGAATGTTCCATCATCACGGAATGTCCCTGTGGACAGCACTGATTGGAGGTTCATAGAAAAGAGAAATCCTGGCTTTATGTGGAAGTGGGAAGCGCCGTTAGTGGTCGTTGCATTTTTACTTGTTAAAGGCCCCGCTGCAGGTGGGGTTGGGATGACATTTGGCGCTTTCATTGGTAGGTTGTCACCCCCGGTTCCTCCAGCCTGGCCCGCAAAGAAGTCACCTCCCCGGAGCCCTGCAGGGGAGACGATGACACAGCAGACAGGAGGGAAGGCCAAGAACTCCTTCCTGTTCTTGGCTTCTCAGTGGCTGCAGTTTACTCTGAAACTCAAGGGCTAGAGAAAGGTTTGAGAGAAAAGGATTTGCATTCTAAAACCTTTGGAATTTTTCTTTTTTTTTGAGACAGAGTCTCTCTTTGTTGTCCAGGCTAGAGTGAGTGCCATGGAGTCAGCCTAGCTCACAGCAACCTCAAACTCCTGGGCTCAAGCGATCCTCCTGCCTCAGCCTCCTGAGTAGCTGGGACTACAGGCATGCGCCACCATTCCCCTAATTTTTTCTATATATATTATTGGCCAATTAATTTCATTTATATTAGAGACGGGGTCTCCCTCTTGCTCAGGCTGTTTGAACTCCTGACCTCGAGCAATCGCTCCGCCCTACCTCCCAGAGTGCTAGGATTACAGCATGACCATCACGCCCGGCCTGGAATTTTCTTGATTTAAAAAAATTAAGCCCGCATGGTGGCTCATGCCTGTAATCCTAGCACTCTGCGAGGTATCGCTCAAGGCCAGGAGTTGGAAACTGAGCAAGAGTGACACTCATCTCTACTAAAAATAGAAATAATTGGCCAACTAAAACATATAGAAAAATTAGCTGGGCATGGTGTCCATGCCTATATTCCAGCTACAAGGAGCTGAGCAGGAGGATTGCCTGACCCAGGGTTTGAGGTTGCTGTGAGCTAGGCTGACGCCGCGCACTCTACCCAGGCACAGAGTGAATCTGTCTCAAAAAAAATTTTTTTTTAGAGTCGGTCTTACTCTATTGCCCAGACAGGAGTGCCGTGCACTATCATAGCTCACTGCATCCTCCAACTCTTGGCTCAAGCGATCCTCCTGCCCCCTCCCGAGTAGCTGGGACTACAGGCACGTGCCACGCACCGCCTGGCTAATTATTTAAATTTTGTATTAATTATTTAAATGTATTTTTGTAGAGATAGGGTCTGGCTATGTTGCCCAGGCTGGTCTAGAACTCCTGGCCTCCCGATCCTCCCACCTCAGCCTCCCAAAGGATGGGATCACAGCATGAGCTGCCAGGCCCAGCCTTGGATTTTTGTTAAAAAAGAAACATCAAAAACTCAAGAGGCCGAGCTGCAGTGGCTCATGCCTGTAACCTAGCACTCTGGGAGGCCGAGGCGGGCGGATTGCTCTAGGTCAGAGTCGAAACCAGCCTGAGCAAGAGCGAACCCATCTCTACTATAAATAGAAAGAAATTAATGCCAACTGATATAATATATATAATAACAATAGCCGGCCATGGTGGCGCATGCCTGTAGTCCAGCTACTCGGGAGGCTGAGGCAGCAGGATTGCTTGAGCCAGGAGATTGAGGTTGCTGTGAGCTAGGCTGACCCACGGCTCACTCCTATGCCTGGCAACAAAGTGAGCTCTGTCTCAAAAAAAAACAAAACTCAAGAATGCGGAGGAAGATTGGAAAAGGTTCTCAGCCCCACCCCGAGGCCGGGGCTTCCCTGTTTTCCTCGTGGGCCAGGCAGAGGACTCTGGTGAGAGCCCAGGGCACCCAGAGGGACGAGCTGTGCGTGGGAGGGCCTTGGTGGCTGCAGAGCCAGAGGCAGGCAGGACAGCGACCCTCTGAGGATGCTGGCTGCTCTGGGGTTCACTCAGGGGCCGGCTGCCCCCACTCTCAGATCCGCAAGAACGCCTGGCACAGGAAGAGAGAACTTCTCCAGGTCCCTGGGGGCCACTG